TTGTGCAATATTTTTTAACTGGAAAAAAGAAGTGTAATATGTTCTATGGATATTTCAATTCAAATTAATGTGATCTAAAGTTGATGTTGTTGGTATTTTGGAGTGATGGAATGGTCAAAAGGATGATTGCTTTGAAGAAGAAGAAGAAGAAAGAATGAAGAAGAAAAAGGAAGGAAGGAAGAAGGAGGAAGGGAGAAGAAGGAAGAAGGAAGAAGAAGAAGAAGCTGTCACGTTAGAAAAACTAACGGATTAAGTGTCACGTCAGCAAAAACTAACAGCAGGGACCAAAATGAAAATAAACTAAAAGTTTGATAACTGTATTGTAAGTTTCAAAAGTTTTGTGACCAAAAAGTAAGATACATTAAAGTTTGGAGACTATTTTTATAGTTTACCCTATATTTATTTATGACTAAAATTCAGGAGGCTATTTCGGTCATTTGAAAATCAGTGCACTGCTACTTTCCGAATATTTCGAGAAAATTTTATTGACGATGGTGTGTTAATCCCCCCAAAACAAAAGGTGAAATTTCCCGGGAAAATCATTAAGAAAATTGGGATTTTGGGTTTAGAGATTCAAATTACTTGAATAGTGAAATGTCTCAGACTGGGAAACTGATGCCAAATCTCGATCAACAGAACACGAAGGTACTCAATCTCACTGTTCTCCAAAGAATCGATGCTTTCATAGAAGAGATCTTGATCACAGCTGCTCACGTCACCTTCTACGAATTCGACATCGATAGTAGTCAATGGGTTCTCTTTCTCACAAATCTGTTCTTTAAGTTTTTTTTATTCTTAATTTTTTGCTCTTTATTTCGTTTAATGTCTGGATCGTTAATTTTTTTATCTTTTTTTTTTATTTAGAGCCGAAAAGATGTTGAAGGATCACTCTTTGTTGTTAAGAGGTAAAATAAGTTGATATTTTTTAGTCTTTTATTCCTAGCATTAACTGTTTTAGAGCTTAGAAGCAAGTAATTAAAACTTGGGGAATTGATTTAGCTCATTGAAATGATTGATGATTTTCCTTGGTTTTAAGGAGTACTCAACCTCGGTTCCAGTCCATTGTCATGAATCGGCGTAACACAGGTAGAAATTCTTAATTTTAATGAAAGAGCACACACTTTTTTTCTCCCCTTTTGTCTGATTTGGTACAAAAGTTGTTTTTTAAAAACAGATAATTTAGTGGAGAATCTATTGGGAGATTTTGAGTACGAGGTTCAAGGTCCGTACTTGTTGTATCGAAATGCAGCACAAGAAGTTAATGGCATTTGGTTCTATAATCCACGTGAATGTGAGGAAGTTGCAAACCTCTTTAGTAGGTATAACATCTTGTTTTAGTCCATTTATCTAATTTCCAGCAATCGAATTTGAACATGGACATGATCATCCCAAAGTGAATTCAAACACAGGTTTAGATCTTTTATGTATCTTATTTATATTGTACCTCGTTTCTTACAATTATTTTTCCCGATAGGAAGGGTTCAGTAGTTGAAGGCCCTACTATAATCTTATCACTTATGGTTATTGAAGTTCTAAGCATTCATAAATGTGGCAATAAGATTCTAGTTAAGTGGGGTCAATGCACTTTAATCTGTCAAACAGAGAATGTGTGTGTTTTTAGCTCAACAACTATCAAGTTGTAAACATGTGAATGATATGCAATATGATATACTGCATGTAACTTGACAATTAATCACAATGTTATAAAACAAAATTTTCCTTGCATTATGGCTACCCTTAAACTTTTGTTGTTTAAGAACGCCATGAAAGCACACAAATAAGATTGTGTCGGTGTATATTTTGAGGTATTGTTTCGATAAGAGAAGTTATTGGTCTGTTTCTTTTGGTGGTCCCTAACATTGTATTTGTTGTCTTCTTCCCAGAATACTTAATGCATATTCAAAAGTTCCTACAAAGCCAAATGCATCTTATAGCGCAAGGTAATTGCTTTGATGAAGCATCTATAAGGGAGTTAGTGCTTTTGTGAAGCCTTAGGACATAGTTAAATGTTAAGTTTTCCCATGTCTCCTGCAGGATGCTTCTATGAGGCAAAGATGGTTGAGAGTTTGACTAGAGTGGATTGTGGGGTGACATATATTATGACAGTAAAAAAAAGTTAGGCGAGAGTGAAGGGAAAACGAATTAGGAACTGTAAAATTGGAATTGGTAGTATATGCTGGGAGTAGATGAGCGAGACAGGAGCTTTATATGCAAATTTTTTTCTTTTAACCGCAAACTCCCATATCAATATGTTGTAAGGTTCATCTAATTCAATAGATAATCCTCTCAAGACCAATTATGAGTAATATTGATAAATCTGCAATAATGATTAGCTAAAAAGGGCATCTATGTGGTGTTTAAAAATAATTATGGTGGAATTTTAATTTGATCCTTGGAAGTCCATCATCCTTGTACTACACTATCTTGCTACTCCTGGAAGTATCTTCTATCTTAATTTCATTGTCTTCCTATTGTTTCCAAGTGTCCTAAGCTTTTCTGTTGTTATTGTGTAGTGAATTTGAGGAACTAGAAGCAGTTCCTAGCATGTCCGTAATTGAAGGCCCCTTGGAGCCACCAGCAACTGCCTCTCCTACTGATGTTCCTCAAGATTCGTCATTTGTAAATTTCTTTAGTGTATGTTGACTGCTGACACTTACTGATTTTCAAGGCCCAGTATTTATCTGATGTCTCTCAAGGTTATTTGGTTTTACTAATTTCAGGCTGCTATAAATATCGGAAGTAATGCTCCAAACAGTACAAAACCAGCACAGCCTTACCGTTCTCTCTCGACTACCCCTCTTTCTTCTCATGCACCATCTGCCATATCCACTCCTATACTTGCGCCATCAGTGTTATCCCATCCTCTTTCTGCTCAACCTTCTCTTGATTCAGTAAGTAACAGCGACCGAGTGACAAATCTTGTAAAGCCTTCTTCATTTTTTGTACCCCCTTCCTCATCCTCGTTGATGATGCCACCTCCCTCTTCATCAAATCCAACTGTCTCTGCTCTTCATCCACCCGTCAATCCTCAACGTCCTTATGGCACTCCAATGCTTCAACCCTTTCCACCACCTACTCCACCTGCATCTCTCACTCCTGGTGCGCCTAATTTGCACAATGGACCTCTGATTAGTAGGGATAAAGTCCGTGATACACTACTAATGCTTGTCCAGGTATTTATGTAATTTTCCGAGTATTTTTCACTTGGAATGTTAATATTGATATCATCTCATACGGGCCCGAGTATAATGGCTAATAAGCAAGTAGATCAATCAGTGATACACGTTTTCCAGTTCCCACTCAGGGTAAAGGCTTCTAATTGTCAATTCTTTGTTTTGTTCTTATGCTAGGATGATCAATTCATTGACATATTCTGTCAGGCATTGCAAATGGTGCAACACGCCTGAGCACCCTAGAGTTCGATCCTCAAAAACTTCATTTTTATGTTCAATGTGCACCTCATGCTTTTTATTTTCATCGATTTTCTATCTAAACTTTGACTATTGATTTGATATACACACCAATTGTTTACGGAGGATAAAATGTTAAAACATACTCTGCTGGCATTCAAGCTTGTATAGCAGGCATCGATGCATAAAAAAAGAAAAGAACGTGAATCAAGTTTTGCCAACATGGCGAAAAAGGCCGCTCACGTGCATCAACAGAACTTAATTTATAGTGTTGAGAGAAGAAAGAGAATAAGAATCAAAGTCATCTCCTAAACTCGAACTTTCTCCTCCAATCACCATTCTCTCTGCACCTTTAAGTCTCCCCTTCAGGAGGGAGATATCCGTCGTGATTGTTATTTGGAGTGTGTTTTTTCCCTCCACTTTATGAGATGAGCATTATATTAGGGTGGCTGGCTGCGGCAGCTGCAGGAGTGGATGATAAGGGGAATAACTACTGCGGTGGTTTCAGTCAGCAAGTCTATGACGCATTTTGTTAACTCTAATCGGCATGATTTTTCGTTGCTCGAGTCGGTTATAAAGGACCTGATTCCTAGTTCAACACGGTACAAGTTGGAGGTGTGCAATGGGCATTGAAACATAGTTTGAGGGTCGTTTTGGTGGCTGGTATTGTCAATGTAAAGTTGCTGCTGTTAGCTGGTTCCATCTTTCAGAAGCTTAAAGGTCTGTTTAAACATCTTTATATCTATAAATGCTAAATATGTATGATGTAAGCTCCTTAGATGTGTAGGATTCTCCTATACCATTTGTTGACTTCGTTTCAATAACTTCGTCAATTGGGCACTTGAGGAATGTAGTTGCATTTGTTGTTAAATTATTGAGTTTGATGTCTGCATGTGACAGTCAGATTCGGGTATGAGAATATGATAGTTAAAACTCGAACACATCTCTCATCAACACAAAATTTTGCCAATTTATGTTCAGTTTTGGTCCTTAGTTCATTTACATAATGATGATTCTTACATTTCGAACTCGATCATCCATGCTTGATTCGAGTGCAAATTAAGATGTTTAAGATATTGTCGTTAATGTGGCCTCAATTTGTCGTCGTAAAGAATGTGACCTCAATTTGTAGAAAAAAATATAAAGAGAATGACATTATAATAATTATTGCCAAATATATAAAATGTCTATTATATTATTATCTTGAAGTTGGATATTTTTCATCTTAAGTTCTAACACAACCCGATATGATCTTATCCTTGAAAAAAAAAACATCCACCTAATATAAACCAATCATTTTAGAAAAATACTAATCTTATATCATATGACTGACATTTTAACCAATCAAACCCAAATCGATGAATGTGACCTTAATTTGTCGTCACAATAAAAGTGATAGCAGCCCCACTACATGTAACGCTCAATCATGCCTTCTTACGACAAAAAAACACATGCAAGATATTTTTCTTTAAGAAATCGTTTTCCTCCTCTAAAAATGAATTAAAAATATAAATTTTACAGAATAAAAAATATATTTTCTTCTATAAATAGCCCAATGATTCGTTGAAGGCACAAGGCAATTGCTGCAACACAAATCAAGGTTTTGAGTTGATTTCCCGTCGCTATTGTTTTAAGGCAAATATGAGTTTCAGTTCTTTGGCGGCTTTCGTCGTTAAAAGGTAAACATAATACTCTCGTTTTCTCAATGGAAACTATGATATTACAGTCGTCGCTATAAGTTTTTTCACGAAATTTCATTGTGACGGTGAAATCAATGACGGTTGACTGAAAACTTTTGAGGATTTAATGAGAACTTTTTTACAAAAATGTGAGTAGATATTAAAGTTTATTTTTTAGGGTAAACTATATCTTTAGTATCCAAACTATCAATTTTAGTATTTAAACTTTTAATTTTTCAAAATCATACCTGAATTTTGATCTATTTAGTATTTAAACTTTTAATTTTTTATAAAATCATATGTAATGTTTAGTTTTTTTGTTTCATTTTAGTATCAGTTTAAAACTTAACGTTAAGTTAAAAAAATTTAAGTATTAAAATAGATCAAAAATAATAATAGTTTATGAACTAAACACGCTAAATTTTTTAAGAGCTTGTATTAAAAACTAAGCATTAAGTATGATTTTAAAAAAGTTAAAAATTTAAATATTAAAATAAATTAAAACTGATAATCTAAGTATTAAATTATTAATGAATCCTATTTTTTTTTTTGTATAGGCTAAATGGTAAAGTGGCATTAATAACAGGTGGAGCCAGTGGCATCGGCGAGAGCACGGCGAAGCTTTTCGTTCAACACGGAGCCAAAGTCGTCATCGCCGACATCCAAGATGAACTCGGAAGCTCAATATGTGAAAAAATCGGCGATCATGAAACCATTTCCTACGTTCATTGTGACGTCACCAGCGATTCAGATGTTCGAAACGCCGTGGATTCAGCCGTTTCAAAGCACGGGAAACTCGACGTCATGTTCAACAACGCCGGAGTAGGCAATTTGGGGAGCAGCATCATTGATTCAAGCAACGAAAATTTCAAGAGAGTTATGGATATCAACGTGTACGGCGCATTCCTAGGCGCCAAACACGCCGCCAGGGTCATGATTCCGGCGAAGAGAGGCTGCATTCTCTTCACCGCTAGCATGATGTCGGTGATCGGCGGTTTCGCCGATCATTCTTACGTGGCGTCGAAGCATGCGGTGGTTGGATTGGCTAAGAATCTGTGTGTGGAGATGGGGCAGTATGGGATTAGGGTCAACTGCGTTTCGCCGTTTGCGGTGGCGTCGCCGTTGTTAAGAAAGGAAACGGGGATGGAGAAAGAAGCCTTGGAAGGCTTGATTTCGGAAGCGGCGAACTTGAAAGGGACGGTGTTGGAGGCGGAGGATGTAGCGGCGGCGGCGTTGTATTTAGCCAGCGACGAGTCCAAGTATTTGAGCGGTGTTAACTTGATGGTTGATGGAGGAGTTAGCATCACTAACCCTTCGTTGCAAATGGCAGTCAACAGCGCTATGTCCTAATTTCGTGTTACTTAGATTCCATTAAGGACTAAAAGTCTAAAATAAGTGATTGACTTGGGGACTAAATTAAAATAAATCAATTTCGGGATTAATGTAGAACCAAATTGAAAATAGTTGTTAATTTTAGGGATTAGATATTGTTTTATCCCATAATTTTTCAAACAAATGGGTAAATTACATATATGGCTGCAAATAAGATGAGACATATCGTGAGCTACTCGAGATCGATTCAGTTAAAGCTCGATAAATACTCAACTCAAATGACTTGACTCGAGTTCTTAACGCGAAACGAGTTATTTGATATTTGACTTGAAAAATTCGTGAGCAATTCAAAAAAATAATATATATTAATATTTTATTTAAAAAAAATATAAATTATTAATAATATTGACATTTATATGTTTTTTTCCTAAAAAATATAGTATAAGGTTTCATGTATTTAAGGTTAAAATTCATGTTTGAGTTTGAAGCTTTAATCGAGTTAAGTTTCATTTTTTTTTTAATTCCAAGCTTTTTCGAGCTTCAGTTTATGGTTTTGAGTTCGAGTCGAGTTTGAAAATTTTAGGCTCGTGAATTTTCGAGTTGAGTCGAGCTTCATTTTAGAGTTTTCAGTAATATGTAAGTATTATAATACTTGTGAGAAAATAAGAAAAAAGACTAAATTGATGAATTATTAAAATTTAAAAACTTAATTTTATGAAATTATTTTAAATCGGGATTAAATTAATAGAAATATACCATAAATTTAAGAAACTAAAATATTATTATGTTATAACATATCACTGTTCCGACTAAAATTTAAATGTTGGTGATAGAATTTTAATAAAGTGATTGAATTGTTATTATATATATATTTGTTAAAAAGTAGTCTATTTGTAATTGAACTTATAAATGAGTGATCTGAAGTGTAATTTACCCAAACGAATTACCTATTCTCCATTATCATCCACTTCGATCTACGACTGTTCTATCTTTTTCCCCCACTCCATTTATCTTCGCTAAAAAACGCTTTTCAACAGATTTTTCATTCTCTCTAAAATCCCCAAAAGATTACAAGGGGATTAAATTCTAGGTTTTGGGTTAAATAAATGTGATGTCGAGGCCTTGGCTACTGGTTTTTGTAGTGTTTTTAGTAATGTTCACTTCTCAATTCGAATGGAAGCAGCAATTCGGTGAAGAAATTGAGCCATCTCCCACTGTTTCTCTTAAAGATCAATCCGTTTCCAAACGCCACGAATACGTCAAAGAGAAGGTTTCGCCTTTCCCCCAATTTGTTCTTCTTTTAATGTATAGTTTTATCTTATTTTAATCCGAAATTATGAATTAGATTATTGGTTGTTGTTAATTTACATTGTTATTCATTTAGTACCCAAAATTTGTTGGCTTGCAAATGGTATACTTTATAGTTCAATTAGCAGAATCTGTATATCCCCCAAAGGAAGGGTATGGAGTATTAAATACTGCCATGAATGACTGTTGATGCATTTTTGGTAATGAATTGAGATATTCTTAGTCTCTTAAGAGACAAATTAGGGGTGCCGGAGCTTGTGCTCCGGTACGCTTTTCGATGCTTAAGTCAGGATAATGAAGAGGGCCTCTCTTTGTTACAGCAAACTCCGGTGTCTCCTAGCTAATTTTCATCTTGCAGGAGCCCGGATATATTCTAGTCTGTCTCACTTCCATCGAAGATCATTGTCCTGCTTGATCTATTACCAAAGTTGCATCAATAATATAAAAATCTTTGGGTCATTTTGATGAAGATTTCAATCCTTTAATGTGTGCTCGAATGGATAATTAACAAGCTAATCATTCTCTAAGTGTTTTATCATTTGCTAGTACTCACCAGTGTGTAGAAACAAATGCTGGGAAACACGATTATTTGGGTGAAAAGTACAAGCTTTGAGCCAGTGGTCGTCCGTTAAAACATGCATGGATCACCCCTGCTTATTCGAATTCACTGTGGTGGGGTTGTAACTGGGTAAATTCCTTTTAGCATATGATGCAATCAGACCGAACCTACTTCCTTATAGCTTTGTGTAGATAAAACTCATGAATTTGTACATCTCACTTTAGGACATATAGATTCGTTTTGGTCTCACTTAGTGCCTTGATTCTTGCTTTCGGTTCCGCAATTGCAATTCATTGAGTTAAAACATTAAGTTTCAAGATTTTCTTTAGGCTTCGCCCCCTTCCCACTGTCTACCCGATGTTAATGATAGTTCTGTGTAGTTTATACCAATTCGAAACCTCAAATACGACCCACTTATCCACATCTTACCAATAGGGTTTGTTCCGGGCTGCGTTCACAGTTTTTCCCGATATAGTTGCTTGAACTGAACTTAAATTTTCTATGGATTGTTTTAAGATTACATACATAATCAACTTTGTTGCAGATCATACTCTCTCAAGAAAGGAATATTCAGAAACTGAACGAGCTCGTGAAGAATCTTCGTCAACAGTTGCTTCAGTGTAAGACTGAAAACGAGGTCGTTAACAGTTCTGCATTTGCTTTGAGCGAACATTTAAGTGAGATTGAACGGCAACCGACGTTGGATGACTAGTATTTTTGGGTCACTGCCAGTAGAATCGGTACTTTCCGGTACGTGCAATTGTGTAAACCTTGATTTTCTTTCTTTTTGTAGCTTCACAATGATCATTGATTTAGTTTAGCTTGCAACACATGAGATGAAACTCTTGAATGTCTCTTGTCGATATATTTCATGCTTGGTTTAAGTTATTGTGCTTTTTGACCTTTTTTAAACGTCAAATTAAATAATGAGTTAATTGCATCATATATCCCCAAACTATAACCCTCATTTCAAATTAGTCCTTAAACTTTTAAATATTCTAATTTCATCCCCAAACTATGTCTCTCATTCTAAATTAGCCCTTAAATTTTAAACATTCCAATTTTATCCCTAAAATATGGATCTCATTCTAAATTAGTCCCCAAACTTTTGAATTTTTCAATTTCATCCCTAAATTTATCCAAATATGTAATTCATTTCAACAATAGTTTAATCTAATTTTTTTAAAAATATATAATAATATAGCTTGGTCTACGATTTTATTAACAAGAGATGTGATTAGTATATAAATATAATTTGGGATGAAATTGAAATGTTCAAAATGTTTGGAGACCAATTTAGAATGAAGATCGTAGTGCGGGGAAGAAAATGAAATGTTCAATATTTTGAGAATTAATTCAGAATGATAGTTATAGTTTAGGGATAAAATTAGAATGTTTAAAAGTTTAGGGACCAATTTAGAAAGGGTTTATAATTAAAGGACGTATGATGCAATTAACTCTTAAATAATCATAATATAACAACACGAATCCAATCATTATACTTTCAAAAATAATATCAATGATTCCATATTTAACAAGAATTCTTTAATTTTTCAATATTAGCATGATTAAAGTGTTTCGTGTCATGCTTTTATTGTTTTATAAATTTTTTTAACCAATGTTTACATTTGAGGTGATTTAGTTAATGAAAAGGATAGTTTAGGGTACTTTATAACAAAAAAATTAAGTATTAAATTGAAAAAAATGAAATAATTTATGGGGCAATTAAGCCCCTTTTCAAACTATCATAAAGGATAGTGGATCAAATAAATAAAGAGTTATAATTTTACACTTATCCAGATACATGCAATAAGGTTCGTGTATCAATACTCTATATTATTGTGAAAAATATAACGGTACCATTAAGTGTCACATGTCATAATTGATTGGCTGTTGAAATATCATATCAACACCACATACTAATCTAAGAATTTTTTTAAAGTTTAAGTACCAATTTGAGAATTTGTTTTAATTTAAGGAACCAATTTGAGAAAAAAAAGAATAAAGTTAATGCATTCATTTTAGAAAAATATCAAATTCAATTAAGCCATATTATATATTATACTATTTCGTACTTGAATTTATTAGATTTTTTTCTTTCTTTTACAAATCAATTTTATACTTGTATTTGCCAAACGTTATTTGATATCTATTTTTTCTTTATTTTTACAAAGGTGGTATCTATATTTTCTTTATAGTTTTACATGTTTTTAGGATCGTTGGATAAGGAAAAATAAAAGACTGATATTAAATCTTTTGTTTTTCTTGTGAATATCTTCTTATTTCCTACAATTAATCTCAACTTTTGATTTCTCGAACCCAAAAATCATAAAAAAAAGTGTAAAATGTTTTACGCTATGTAATTATATCCTAATCCTATACATAATACATTTCATATTTAGTATTTGTATGAAGTAAATCAATGGTACACGTTATAAAATATAACAGGATTTCATATCATAATTCGTTATAATTTGAGAGATCTATCGTCTTATCTTATTATACTAACAAATGTGGTTAATAGTCAAATAAGATATTATCACTCTATAATCGAATCCAATCTGACTTTTATCTTTAAAAAAAATAAACATGAAAAAATTGATATGATCTAAACTCGATTTTTTTTCTAAAAAGAACTCTATTCTTAATTACTAATTAGACCAACAACGGATGTGATTAATGGACATATGGAAGATGCATAAAGTAGAGTGGTGGAAGAGTCCAAGCTTTCAAGTTAAACTACTCCAACCAAAACTATACTTTTCATATTCCTTTATTATTGTTGTTTTGGGTACACCTACGTTCTTTAGTTTAAACCAACTCTAGGGAATTTTGTGCCCATAAAGCTTAGGGTACCTTCTTGGATCTTTATATTAAAAAAAACATATACACTATGGTTCTCATATGGACCACACCCTATACTTTATTATATTGATTGATTTCATTGGTTGGTTAATAATGTTGACCTACCATAACGACCCAATGCACTTATGATCATGGATACATTTTGAGACCATTTATTGAATTTTTGTTTACTAATAAAATATGTATTAAAATTTAATTTTTAAATATTTTTTAAAAAATAGATAAACAGTTAATTATGAAACACGTTAAATATAAGAACATTCAGATAAATAAAAAGTAACACGAATTAAACTATCTCAGTGGTTAAAAGGATGTCTGTTGTCCGGTGTCTGATGTCGTTAGTGTTTAATTTTTTGGTTTTGCTCGCTATGCATTTAGTTTTGTTTTCTTTATCGATTAGTGTATGTACTCTTTTCCTCCACTTGGGCTAGGGAGGTTTTTAACGAGGCATGAGCTAATCCTTCCTTGTATGATTTTTCGGTTAATGAAATCATACTTTTTCACCAAAAATAAAAAGAAAAGAAATTATGGTTGTTATTTTTAGAGGTTATGGGTTTGAGAATCAACCTCTGCTGAGGCGTTTAAACGTTTATTTTCAAATGATTTAGAATCGTGCACGGATATTACACTTAATTTAATAAAAAATTAAAAAAAAAAGAGTAATGAAATTTATTTAAAGAAGCCAACCTTGACCGATCCAGAAGGAAGCCGGTCAAGAATTAGAAGGATTCTGGAACTTACTGATGTGAATATTATAAAATTCTAAGGTTTTGACAGAAGCATTTATTTCAATTAGTCAAATCGCTTACGATGGAAGTTCAAGCAGCAATTTCTTACATAAGATTATGAAATTAATTCATACTTTTATAATTTTTTTAAAAATAATTATAATTTTATTATTGTAAGAAAACCATTTATTTCGAATTATAAAATCAGTAATTATAAATCTCATATCATAATTTATATTTGGTGCAGTAGTTGGTCACATAAATCAATAATTGTCACATGTTTTAATATTTGATTAATTTTATTAAATAAGAGTTAATTATATCATATATTTCTAAATGATGATTTAATTATAAATTAATTTAAAATTTTAAATATTTTAATTGAGGTTTTAAGTTAATAATATCATTTTCTGATATTTAATTATTAGTGTAGAGATTTGTTGAATTGAGTTCTTAGCTATAATTGACTTTTCTATAGTTCGTGCGTAAGAATTGTTAAAGTGTCAATCACACATATAATTCTATTTTTTATTAAATAATATATATCTAATTAAGAAAAAAATATAGATAGATAGGTATAGGCATTGTTAAATTAAAAACCCCATTATTATATTTTTAGAAATAACTCCAAGTCAGATTAGTTAAAAAAATCTCCCAAACTGCCCACGTAGGATTACGTCGCGTTTTTATAGAATGTGAGACCCATCAATTTTTTCAGATGAAGCCATTTAATACTAGATAAAGACAACAATAAATACATCAAACTCGCTTTTCGTAAAATGCGACGTTTGACCTCGCTTCTTACAAAACGCGAGGTCATCTTAATTGAGCAGTTTGAGGTATTTTTTTAACAAATCTGACTTCAGGATTATTTCTTAAAAAAATTAATGAGTGTTTTTAATATAATAACGCCAAGTATTATAGCAAATTTTCTCAAATACTAATAAACAGATTAGACTTATGTAGAGACATATATAAGGTTTTATGTTAGAGAGACGAATTTATAGAATTTTAAGAGGTAATTAATTGGCAATGATTGCTTATACTCGTAAATGTGTTTGAATTCGTGACCTCTAAAAAATATAGTGAGTTCATTAACCACCGAGGTATATCGGTTTGTGCTTTTATAGTTGTGTTGAAACTTAATATCTAAATTAATAATTATACTTAATTAATACTATATAAATATTTTAACAAAACTATTTTACAATTTTATACCTAAATATTATCGAAAATAATTTTGAAGACGAAATCAAACCATGAAACGCGTCACCTTTATAATATATATATATTCTAGACTTCAATCAAAATAAACAAAGTTTATATATTTGTAAGCAAAGGTAATTCCAAATCATTTTTCCTTTCGTTTTGCCTTGGATCTCAAGTTTCAGCCTATAAGAAAACCATCATTCTTCTCTCTTTCTCTGTCGGTTGCTCATCACATTTTCCTTGCACGAAAGCAAACGCTGTCCATCATTTGATTCCCCCACACCTTTAGCTTTTTTTTAACACCGGAATTTCGTTCAAAAGAATCTCAACAAACTCAGCTTTTCGTCACCTTGTCTCTGTTTTTTGAACAGTTTTTGGTTCTTTTAAGCTTCCATTGTTGTTGATACAGTAGATCGAGGCGCTTCGTTGATCCATTTGACTCACCATCTTTTCCAAAAGGTTTCGAAATCTGGGTTTCTCTTCTTTCCCTTTTTCTTTTACCAATGAACGATTGTGTGAACTGTGAAGTGATTTCTCTACCCTCTTTCTCGTTTTCCAGGAAAATTTTCGATCAGAAATGTTGGGTGAATTCATTACCAGGGTTCTTGTGTAAGTCATGATTTTTCACCACTTTTTTTCTGGGTTTTGAATAATTCTAAGAAGGCTTTGCTTAGTTTGATTCATGGGTTTTGATTTGGGCGTTGCAGGTTGGTTCTTGGATATGGATTTCCAGCGATCGAATGCTTTAAAACAGTTGAGAAGAACAAGGTTTCGATCGAGGAACTCAGATTTTGGTGTCAATATTGGTAAATTTTCGAAAGTCTTTGCTTTTCACATTTCCTAGCAATTTTTCCTTAGCTATAATTGACTTAATTATATTTAAATATTTTTTTATCATAGAATTTTTAAGGAAAAAATACGCATTTAATATATAAACTATCAACCTTGGTCTATTTTAGTATCTAAACTTTTATTTTTCCAAAATCATACTTAATGTTTAGCTTTCGTTTCATTTTAATACATTGTCGTTAAAAACTTAACGCGTTTAGTACCTAAACTTTGGTCCGTTTAGTACCTCGATTTTTAATTTTTTTTCAAAACTTAATGTTAAATTTTGAATTAGGTACTAAAATGAAACAAAAACTAAAGTTTTTAACTGCGTAATATTAAAATTAATTAAAAACTAAACTTTAGGTACTAAAATAGATCAAAATTGATAGTTTAGGTACTAAATATATAATTTGCCAAATTTTTAAAAATTATGAAATAGTCGTTGAAAGTCTTGACCTTTCTCATTTCTTTGCATTTTTCGTTTCGTTCTTAGCTATAATTGACTTTTCTCTATGCATGCATTGAGTTTGGTCAATTTAATTTTCTCCTCCTCCTCCTCCTCCTCCTAATCATTAGAGTTAATTATATTAAAGGTGATTGAATTGTGTTTAAATAATCATTTTAGTAATTACACTTTTAAAAATCATAAACCTTTTATTAAATTTATTAAACTATTATAAAACTATCATTAAATTTTATCAAACTATTACAAAATATTTATCAAATTTAGTGAATTTCACTTATTATAACACTATAGTGATCATTTTGTAATACTTTGATAAAGTTAATGATTGTTTTATAATTTTTAAGAATTCAACGGTTAAAATGATTATTTAAGCATATTTCAACGCCCTCTACTTTACTTTACCCTTATTATTATTATTTTACTTGTTTGATCCTTCTTTTATGGTTGAGAAATTCAATGTTTCTTAAAGCTTCTAGTCTTTCCAATTGAAATTGTTCATTAAGGTTTTGAAGTTGTCAAACTTTGACCTTTCCTAGTCTCTATTATATTTTTTTTACATATTTTTGGGTGATTTTATATTTAATATATTTACATATATATAATATTTATTGATTTTAATCTCGTTTGTTATCATTTTAAAAGTAAAAATAAAAATAATATATGTAAATGTTTTTTTTATAAATTTGCAAAATAAAAATATTAAATTATTTTAATCCCATTTAAAAAGAAAATTTCATTGATATTGTACATAGTAACAAACCCATAAATTTACATATAAATTTATAATATACGTTTGTACATTTAGTCATATCAAACTATTTACTATTAATATATATTGAAGATATTATATATAGTAATTATTTTTTGTATTATATAAATTTGTGGTGAAATTAATTACATGGTACTTACATTTTAATTAGTCCCATGTCATAACTACGTTTTAGTTAGGCCATATATACAGGTTTTAATAGAAAATTGATCCTTAAACTCTATTCTGATTTCCATATTCATAGTTTTTTCTTTAATTTATAAATGTACATAAATTCTCTTTTTTCTCTCATTTTACCACGACGATTTTGCAGGATCGTCGTAGCATTTCTGACGGTATTCGAGAGCATAGGGGACACATTGTTTTCATGGTACATTTTCATTCCAACACGAGAAAATAGCTAAACCGCAACACGAATATATAAAATATAATACGGTTATAATACGGATACATGTATTTTTAGATCGAATACTGATACTACGTTTTCTTAATTATTCTGAAGGTTGCCTATCTACGACGAGCTGAAGCTTACACTCTTGATCTACCTATGGTATCCCAAAACCAAGGTAAAACTAAAACGTACAAGCATTTGCATTTGATGTGTGTTTTGTTTTCCAATGCAAAACTTGCAAGTTAATGCACACTTACAAGCTTTGCCTTTCTTGGTAATGAAGGGAACTAGTTATGTGTACGACACCTTGCTGCGGCCATACATGATGAGACATGAAACCGAATTCGGTCGAACGATACAAGAATGGCGAGCCAGAGCTTGGGATTTTGCTCTGTATTATTGGGAGAACTGCACCGAGTTGGGGCAGACCAAATGGGTCGAGATGTTGCAGTTCTTGTCCGGTCAGCCTTCGAGGTTGAAACAAGGCAAGCTGGTGAGTTTTCGTTACCCTTCTGTTTAGAAAACTAAATTCGAGTCACAAATTGTATGTTTTGATCCGAATTCGAAAAGCCCGAATAACCAAATTTGTCGAAATGATCCTAAACGATACGATCTGATTTAGATCTAGATTGCCACATCTAACTTGAATCAAATTGAACACTATGACAATGGTTCATCAAAAGTTCATCAATGGAGTGATTACATATGATATGTAACTTGGAATGATTAGCTGTTTTAAGTTTTCTAATTCTTCAATGACTCGATGCAGATTGACCCGGTTCTAAATCACCAATTGGAGTTCGACGAGAAACGGCCAGCCCGCCGTAGACTCTTTGGAGGCAAAGGTCGTTAAGTCCAACCCCACGGTGAGTCAAAGCTCCGACAGGGAAAACCACACAGTCAACAACTTGTAACAAACGAACAACACATGTATAAACCACCCAACAATTGGCAAACACTAACAGAAGAAAGAAACCAAGAAATTGCTTCATGAATAGCTAGTGTCAAATTCAGTTCATTCTTTGCTTTTTTTCTTCTTGTCCCGTTTGTGATATAAATTATGTTTCTACTAAAAAAAAGATTATTATTATTGTTATTATTATTATTATTATAAGACTTGGAGTTTATTGATGGTCAAATTATTCAATCCCGTTAAGTTCCGACTTAAATCTATCACTATAGGATCAATTTCTTCTTTTGAAATTTGGATTTGAGACGGGGTCAAGGCGAGTTTTGTTAATGGGTAAGTAATTATTATAATGTTTCTCTCTTTATATTTTTCAATTATATTTCTATATTACCGAATAAATGAAAAAAATATTCATGTCAGGTCGGATCAGAGATTCGGGATGAGTAGAATGCCACCTAACACCAGGGCAGGTCGGGTTTCAAATTTCAAGTCGGGGCGACCAAAAAAATTAACCCGTCCCATCCTATGCCCATCCCTAACAAATGAATGCTATAACACAATAGATCAAATTCAACCACAAAGTGAAAAAGTTGGTAGAAAAATCACTGGATTTGTATAATCATATCATGGTTTATGGATGCCATGGTCATAACTTCAATATACGTGATCGATATTATAGAAACAACCGATGGACCCTATGATTACATTCTCAACGCACCAATTCTACACATCTACATCTGGTATGTCTGCTTTCGAATTTTGACATCTCAAACTAATGACTGATTAGTAAAAAACCTCAAAATCAACAAAGGGATGATGTTAATGTGCATATATACTCAGATTCGACGGACCGTAATTCCGATGCCGACACGTTTTATTTCTATAACTAAAACCATAGGATAGATAAATTGTTGAACCATGCAGTGAATGGAAATAACCCCTATACCACCATCCATGTTGTAGACATCAATTTTTTCATTTAAATTTATTATTATTATTAAAATTATTATTATTATTATTAGTATTATTATTATAATTATTATTTATTATTATTATTACTATTATATATTATTATTATTTAATAAATAATTACAAAACTGGAAGCCCATTTACAAGCCCAAATCCCAGGCCCAACCAGAACCGACCCATACCCAAATGGAAACCCTAAACTGATTTAGGGTTTCAGCTAGGGTTTTCAAACCCTAGCTCCCAGCCGCCGTTTCCAGAAGCCCCGCGCCGCAGCCGCCTCTCCAGCTGCCAGAAGCTTCCAGATGCCTCAACCTTTGATGCCAAGTGCTCCAATCGCCGTTGCCGACACTCCACCAGTGCCACGAAGCCACCTCGAAGAAGCCTCCAGAAGCTTTGTTGCCACAACACCGACCGTCCATGTCGAGCTCTATGGTGAGTCACCACATAGCTCGGTGACTCACCGAACTCCTTTCCTTTAACCGGTCCGATGAGCGTCTTGATGATGGCTATAAAGTCATCGATCACCTGCGAAAGAAAAGGGACGACCACAAAAAAAGAAGGGAAAACACAGACAGAAACGAAAAGAGAGCACAACAAACATAAACGAGACACCACAAGAAGAACTACACCAACGATCCCATAAAATACAAACCGAAAGAAGAGAAAAATAGACTTACCGAGGAAATCGCCGTCGTGAGAGCCTCCACGAGTCATCGGAGAACCGAAACGTCGAAGGAAACTATCTCAGATCTACGACGTTTGGTAAGTTTTTAGGTTAAAACAACCTTAGATTGGGCTTTAGGGTAAATAGAGCATCGATTTGGGGGTGTTTTGTAATTTTCCGGCCACCGTAGATGGTGGCCGGCGGTGGTACCGGTGGCAAAATACGGCGACCGGTTGTTGTCTGGTTTCCTCCGGCGAAGGAAACTATGAGAGAGGCGAGAGAGAGTTATAAAACTCTCTCTGTTTGAGAGAGAAAAGAAAGGAAAAATGGGGAAGCTGGCCCGAAGGGCCAGCCGTTTGGGACTTAAATAGCCCTCCCCAAACGACACCGTTTTGGGTAGGGGTTTGTCTGTAATTAACTACGGGTAAAACCCTTTCTGCAGTCATCTTAACTTGTAATCTTTACATTTTAGTCACTAAATCGAGTTTATAATCCTTTTAATTCGGTTCTTTAATTTCAATTTTATTTATTTTAGTCCTTTCTATTAAATAATATATTTAGGATAAATACGTATTTAGTCCTTTAGTTTTAATAAATAATATTTTAATCCCGAGTATATATTTTTAATTTATTTTAATCTGATATTCGAATTTTTTATAATTTTATTTTAGTCACCAAATTAATAAATAAGGAGAATAGCATGTTTAATCCCTGTAATTTTAAATAATTAATCACGAATTAGGTATTTAATTCTATTAAGTTATAATTTAGTCATTATTTCAATTTCTATTTAAATTTTTTTTTACAAGTTTTATATATAGTTTTAATTTTATTATTTATATGTTTACTCTTAATTATTATTACTATTATTATTATTATTTAGTCATAAATATATATATTTATCTAATATTTATTTTATTTATTAAAAACTTATTTAATTATTTTTAACCTATTTTAATCATGTTTTAATATTTATTTATTTTTCAATATTAAGAAAGGGCAGTCTTAAAACAACTGGATGTCCATCTTCTGATATTTTTAAATAAATAAATATTTTATTTTTTTAAATCATATATTAATTATTTTAATATATATATATATATATATATATATATATATATATCAAAGAAAAGAGCTGTCTTAAGGCACCTAGAAGTCCTTTTCTGATATTTCTAAATAAATAAATATTTTATTTATATTTTATATATAAATATATTTTATATAATTATAACTTTGAAATAATTGGATTATAAATTAAATATATTTTTTGATTTTTTAAATTTCCAATAATAAGAGACAATTTATAATTAATAAGTACCAATTTTGGGCGTTGTGGGGGTGCTAATCCTTCCCCAAACATAATCGACCACGAACTCCTTTTTATTATTAAAAAGAACGAATCTCTGGTTAAAAAGCAGATAAGTTCATCTTTTAACTGATGTTTTCTTAAAACTCTTTTAAAAGATAATTTTTAGGTATTCGACCTACCTGACCCAAAAGGCCGATGGCGACTCTCAAATTATTTTATATTTTAAAAAAAAACCATTTATTCACATCAATTTTCTCGCCAAATAAAAAAATTCGTGCCCGGGCGAAAACCGGTTACGACAGCTTGGCGACTCCGCTAGGGACTGTCAAACTTTAAAATCAATTATAAATTGTCTCTATTAATTAGAAATTAAAAATTCATTTATTTAATTTTTAATTCTTTTTTTTCAAATTTTTATTATTTATTATTTTAATATTAATATTGTTTTTTTATTCAGGTATTAATTATTTTATTTATCTGTTAGAGGTTTGAATATTTCTACTCACACACAACACTTGCATTGCATAACATAAAGCTCTATAATTGAGTTTGTCCCTTTTAAGTGGGAGTGAAAGCGACGTCTTCGTGAGAATTTATTCTCCGTGTCAGACCTAGCAAGTAACTTTCGGGGTTCATATGCTCTATGTCTTCGTGAGAATTTATTCTCCGTGTCAGGTATAGAGAAATGTGTCCCCTCGAATTGAACTCGATCCGTTTAAATCTGTAATGGATTAGGATTGATGGTTGATAGCCCAAGGGGGCATCAACAAGGACAATTCGAGTACCTTTACTCCTAGAACTGAAACTCTGCATATAATAAACCCTAGAAATTCACCTAATCTAAGACAGTACTGAACCTCTGTTCATAGGTCTACACAAAGGAGAAATAAGCTCTAGCTTTTAATTTATTTAATTTATTATTATTTTTTCTCCCTGAATAAATGCATGCGAACTAGAAATCATGCGGTTAGGTTAAATTTTCCAAACAAAGCATGGAACTAGAAAGCATGAGATTAAGATTTATACCTTGATAGATAGATTTTTTCATTAGTGGGTACTAACTATTTTATTTTTTCTCATTTCTTTTGTTTGCATTGCATGATCATAGCATAACCAAAAGGTGTTTACTTGAAAGACTGTTCATCATATTGGAAAGAAATTGTAAATGGACAAAAAGTTTTATGATCAAACAAAATATGATGCGGCCAAAGAAAGACATCCTGAGCAAACTCTGAGGATAGAAGCAAGCTATGCACCCAAAGATCGTATGACCATTGAAGAGAAAAAGGAGATACGAGAAATAAGAGAACAGATGATCAAGATGATGGATAGAATATCTATTTTGGGCAAAGGAAAAGAGATTCCAGCACAGAAAGAGAGAGAGCTCAATGAACCTAACTATGCAGTTTCAGATACGAAAGGGACTTCGATTCTTAACCAATTTGAGAAATTACAGACAGTCATCATTCGTATTCACAAGTCATCTGGAGATACCAAAGAAATGATGACAATTGTAAAAGCTTCCAGAGAAGAGAAGAAATCATGTAACCTGAAATCATCGAAGTTTAGTATGCTCCCGATATCTAAAACTCAGGTTCAATTCAAGACAAAAGGTGGTTCTCATATTGATACTATCCCCATATCATATAAAGAGTTGTATGAGAAGCTACTTGAAGCACGAGAAGTGGATCCATATTATATAAAACCGTTCCAACCTCCGTATCCAACTTGGTATGACATCAACGTTCATTGTGAATATCATGTCGGAGCTCAAGGACATACCATCGAGAATTGTCTTGCCTTCAAACGCCGAGTCCAAAGTCTTTTGGATCATGGAACCTTACAATTTATGGTAAATGATCGACCTAGTTTGGTAACCGAGGGTCCTGATAGATTAATACCAAAAGTCTTCAAAGGTAAGAATATCAGTAGGGGCGCCCAGAGAGAAGAAGATTTGCTGAGGTTTGAAGCTCAAATACGTCATTTGAAGATTGAAAACGATAAATTGAGCACCAAAATGGAAACCATACATGAAGAATTCCAGAAGGTCAGTCAAGCCTTTCAAAATGCTGGTATAGGAAACACCCCAGAAGAGTGGACAGCAGGGGTCACCAAACT